CGCAGATCAATATCTTAATTTTTGACCGAGTTATGATAGGTCAAAGGTCAAATTTGACCTATTTTCAAAAAATCATAACTCCGGTTCCAATTATCGTAAAGAAAAAAATAAAACGGGAAAATTTACCAAATTGTGTCCGCTTTTAAGTAAAAATTGCAGAAATCACTTCGATTTAATTTTTAGGGTGGGCTCGGACCCCCAAATACGTCAATTCAAAGGTCATTCAATTTTCCCGCGAAATAAGCCAATTTACCCTAGATTTGCCTCCACATTATCTCAGTAAGGTCAAAATCAGTTCAACATTACGTTGGCAAGTCCCCAAATTTCGGGAAAGGTTAAAAAAAACGAAATTTAAGGTGATTAAATTTGACCGTTTAAATTTCGTTTTTTTTCAACTTTTCCCGAAATTTGGGGGCTTGCCAACGTAATGTTGAACTGATCTTGACCTTACTGAGATAATGTGGAGGCAAATCTAGGGGAAATTGGCTTATTTCGCGGGAAAATTGAATGACCTTTGAATTGACGTATTTGGGGGTCCGAAACCCCCCTTAAAATTAGTTTGAAGTAATTTCTGTGATTTTTACGTAAAAGTGCTTACAATTTGGTAAATTTTCCCGTTTTATTTTTTTCTTTACGATAATTTGAACCGGAGTTATGATTTTTTGAAAATAGGTCAAATTTGACCTTTGACCTATCATAACTCGGTCAAAAATGGGCCTGTTGCAAACTTTTGCTAGAGCAGAATGAAGAGTTGTTTCATATAGATAATGCCTCAAAAATTACGATGAGCGCATCGGCAAAGTCTGAAATGCACTAATAAATTCACAATCTGCGTAAGAAATTTGCGTTATTTTGAGCTTCCCGCTTCAAAAACGATACTACTGCACAGGTGAATATTTTGTTAGAGGAGTCGCTCCATCGTCGGCAATATTCATCATGGCCGACGCTTGCGCAGTTCCTCGCGTAATTCGAGGAGAGTTCAAGGTCAATTAAGGCGGGCGAGGAAAATATGAACGTAAACACGCCGATTGTTATATGGTTTAATCCTGTTCAGGTGTTATCTCGTCCCATCTCACGTGTTTTGGCGGACTGGCGTCGGCCATGATGAGTATTGTCGCCAATGGAACGACTCCTCTAACAAAATGTTCTCCTGTACCGTAGTATCGTTTTCGAAGCGGGAAGCTCAAAAAACCGCAAATTTTTTACGCAGATTGTGAAGTTATGAGTGCGTTTCAGACTTTGCCGATGCGCTCATCGTGATTTTTGAGGCATTATCTGCAGGAAACAACTCTTAGTTTTGCTCTAGCAAAAGTTTGCAACAGGCCCATTAAGATATTGATCTGCGGTTTGCGCCAAAATTCTTAGTTTTTTATGTTCTTTCGAATGAGGTATCACAAGATAGGGGTTGCCATTTGAAAAAAAGAAGTTGGGGGCCCCCCGCGCCCCCCCTGAGGGAGGACCAAAATTTTGACCCCCTCAAAAGATGGTCCCCTTTGAGATAGGAACATTCCCAAAGTTTCATTACCCTAGCTCAATTCGTTCAAAAGTTAGCAGGGGTGGGACGGACTTTTGGTACACCCTGTATAAGTCGCTTTACAGCACTCCCTCGCGCTCTACGACTCCTAACCTCCACTGCTCTCTTTCAAACCACAAATCTTGGGGCATTGAGCACCTTTACATTTCCGCTTCAATCCCTTCCCTCCAACCTTTCATCGGGCGCCTTCTGCGTCTTCTCCCAGGAGGAACCCAGTCAAGGACACTCTTCGGTTTTTATGCTTGTTTGAATAAATGGATTCATGACTTTTACTATTGACCGGTTGTATGTCTGATGTTATAAACACGTCTATGACACATACCTATCTTATGTGTTTACACGGTTTTCTTCGTGGCCCTCGTAAATTGCGGTCCTCGCTCCCGACCATGCAGAGTTCAAAATTCATCGTGAAATAGCTGCCTGTTCGTGGATCGCACAACGATGTGATGTCTGGTTTTAGTTTCTACAGATCAAGGGAATCAGAAAAACGTACAATTTCATTGCGGGCAGCCCCCACTCGCGAACGGTATGTGGTGAAACTTCAGCACAAGCCTACGGTTCCTCACTCTATATGTCCGGAAATCAATGTTCAACGTGAAATATCCGTTGGTTCGTGGGTCGCAGAATAATCTGAGGACTCTAATTCACTTGTATGGATCAACGGTATCAGAAAAACTTAAAATTTCATTGCGGGTTCTTACCCAGCGGTCGTGAGGGAGCAATGAAATGCTTTAACTCCGTTTCCGTGCTGCGGTCCTCGATGGATGCGTCACGAGATGATTAATATTCAACGTGAAATATCCGTTAACCGATAGGTCTGTAGGGACGTGAGCTATACCTCTCACTGCCCTACCTCTAGTTAGGGCCCCATCCTAAGCTCGTTTTTTCCGTGCGCGGCAAAGCAGCCACACAACACCCATCAGATTCATTGCACAGATTAGAGAGCTCGAACGGATGCATGTCTGACTTGGACCACGATTGATAATGAACCCCTTGCATTTCTTTTTGTCGAATTTTCAAGGAATTACTCTTCAGTAGTTTTACTTTTTCTCGAATGTTCACAGGAAAAATTGATGCTCGATCAGTGGGTCGTAAAATCCCGAATTATCATAGAATCGAATGAGGTCCTACTTGGAGCAGATGCTCCACCAATAAACTTAAATTTGACAAAAAGCGAAAGAAGAAAAATAGGATTCTTTGAAGAATCCCGGCGGCGTCGTGAGGCATTGTGGAACTGGATCTTCGAGAACAACTCTGCGAATCCACAAGTGGTAAAAATTAAAAACAAAATTGACATGAGAAAGGAAGACTTTCAGTCGACACAGGATTTCTCGTTTTATATTTCTATCGCTTTCAAAGAATTGTCTCTGCAGTTACATCATTTCTTATTCGCTTCTTGGAACGATCAGAAACCTATAAATCTAATTGAAAAAGATGTCTCTGCAAGTAGAGCATTAGAAATTCTTCTGTCTTTCACATGTAACGAAACAGCAACTTTGGTATAATATTTTATGTGTGTAATATTATTCCTCATATATATATATATTGTCATTATTATATATATTTGTCATTGATTTTTATTGAAAACTCAGCATCACCGCAAAAACACTTCCGTGTAAAAATTTATGGAAGACATTGAAAAATACTGGTTTCTTTTTATGCCTTGTAATATGTAAAAATTGTGATTTTCTTCTATTTTTGGATGTTTGATTGTAGGTTGCATACTCTAGCCTCTGAAAAATTAGAAATATATCACAGCCTCGTGAAATTTCATGAATTATTTCACTGAAATTTCCACTGAAATTTCCAATCTTTCATTTCTTTCTTACGTTTTATGCCACCCTGGAGAGACCCCACGTACATGCATATTTGACTTGCGTGAATCCTAGGGGGACCGTGTTAAAAACGTTAGGGGAAAATTCGACGACTGCCCCGGAAAACACCGTAAAGGTCAACGAATCCGGAGTGAAGTTCCTGGAATCCCTCCCCCACCCTTATCCTCGCTCACCCCCTCCTTTGTCTCTACATGCGTCATCGGTCCCGAAAACTACCCTAATCGAAAGGTCAATTCTTATTTCTTCTCCCTGTCACTCTATTCTCGCCGCCCGGTGAAATCAGGAGTCCGGACGTTAGCGCGTTATAAATAATCAAGACGCCGGAACGTGAATAATATCGATATTTTCCCATTTGAAACTACGGCAAAGAATCGATTAATGAGGTGTTCTCTGCGAACACCCTATTGTTCGATCCTTTCCCGTAGGTTTAAATGGTAGATTAATCGATACATCGCAAAGCTCGCCGCGCCACTGAATAACGTCCTTTCCTGGGAAACTTTCCGGCGAAAGCTCCTCTAAGTTTAGACCTCGGGGCGGACAGCGCGTTGTAGCACTTCACCTGGGACATCGGAATTGCATCGCCCTTGTCGAATTCTTCTCTTGTTTCCTCGGATTTTTCAGCGTCCCCGGCGTTTAAAAATAGAAACCTCGGGTTCGCTCTTCTGTGGAGAGTCCGCGAAACGCGCATTCCTTCCAGCTCTTGTTATTTTTTTTCAAATAATATGCGCCTCGAGTTGAGTAAAGACTTTATACTAGAGTAAAGACAATGCGGATCCATTTCTGATTGGTTGCTGTATTTTAGGCCTTCACAGTGTCAAAAACGGGGATAAAGATTAAACCACCAATTGCAAAGATTATAAACTGGAATGGACCGGGGAATTGGGGTTACGGCAAGGCACAAGTGGAATGAGAGAGGGAACGGAGATAGGCATTCGGGAAAGGGTCGATCAAAGATTACAAAAGAAGTTTGATTTGTGCAATCTTTACTCCCGTTCGTGAACATCCATAAGCCGCGTTTTCTTAACTCTCTCGATGGAGGGACTCTAATTTTTATCGGCGAGCGATCATATTTATTTCCGGCCGAGACTGGAAAGTTATTGAAATTCAAATGTTGCACTACAACTTTGGTGGCGGGAACAAACAGCTGCGTTTCGGCCACAGGAGTCGGCAGGAGCATATTTACGTTTCACATAAGGACGTATTTATGCTAGAGGAACTTGAACTATGTTCCACAGTGTGCGCGCGCAACCAGCAACGCAACGCACTGTAGTGTGAGCGCAATGCGTGAAGTATCTCTACAGTCTTGTAGGCGCTAATACGCGTTCCGTGCGCTATCCGCATTATTACGCCCCGCTTTGTTCGGCTTGACTCTATGCGCGCGCACACTGTGGAACATAGTTCAAGTTCCTCTAGCATAAATACGTCCTTATGTGAAACGTAAATATGCTCCTGCCGACTCCTGTGGCCGAAACGCAGCTGTTTGTTCCCGCCACCAAAGTTGTAGTGCAACATTTGAATTTCAATAACTTTCCAGTCTCGGCCGGAAATAAATATGATCGCTCGCCGATAAAAATTAGAGTCCCTCCATCGAGAGAGTTAAGAAAACGCGGCTTATGGATGTTCACGAACGGGAGTAAAGATTGCACAAATCAAACTTCTTTTGTAATCTTTGATCGACCCTTTCCCGAATGCCTATCTCCGTTCCCTCTCTCATTCCACTTGTGCCTTGCCGTAACCCCAATTCCCCGGTCCATTCCAGTTTATAATCTTTGCAATTGGTGGTTTAATCTTTATCCCCGTTTTTGACACTGTGAAGGCCTAAAATACAGCAACCAATCAGAAATGGATCCGCATTGTCTTTACTCTAGTATAAAGTCTTTACTCAACTCGAGGCGCATATTATTTGAAAAAAAATAACAAGAGCTGGAAGGAATGCGCGTTTCGCGGACTCTCCACAGAAGAGCGAACCCGAGGTTTCTATTTTTAAACGCCGGGGACGCTGAAAAATCCGAGGAAACAAGAGAAGAATTCGACAAGGGCGATGCAATTCCGATGTCCCAGGTGAAGTGCTACAACGCGCTGTCCGCCCCGAGGTCTAAACTTAGAGGAGCTTTCGCCGGAAAGTTTCCCAGGAAAGGACGTTATTCAGTGGCGCGGCGAGCTTTGCGATGTATCGATTAATCTACCATTTAAACCTACGGGAAAGGATCGAACAATAGGGTGTTCGCAGAGAACACCTCATTAATCGATTCTTTGCCGTAGTTTCAAATGGGAAAATATCGATATTATTCACGTTCCGGCGTCTTGATTACTTCCAAAAAAACAAAAATATGATTTTTGTACAAAATTTCGGCCCAATCCAAAAAATTTGACTAATTACAAAAAAACAAAAAAAAAAAAAAAAAAATCGGGCACCCAAAAAATATGATGGCAGTACCGTTTGGATTAATCATTTAAAAGGAAATGATATCAAAACGGCCCAATTTCCTCTGAAATATGCCCATCTCTGATCAATAATTTTTTCGAAACCTTCCGACTCATCGCTGAGGAGACACTGATCATTACTTGGCCCTTAGTTAATGTCCTTGTTTAGATGTCAAAGAGGTCTATATGAGACATGTAATGAATTTTTTTTCTTTAAAGAGATAAAAAACATAAAATCGTCATAAAATTGAAAAAAAATTCGAAGAAAAAAAAGGAATGGGCCGGCCGGCACGTACAAAAAAAGGAGGGAAAATAGATACATTGGTATGCCCCGACATTTTGGCATGGGTGACCGACCCGGTATTGCCACATCCATGAAGTGGTTAAGTAAGTAAGTAAGTAAGTAAGTACCGGGCTGGCCGGCGAGGCGGCCTCAAGGGGCCAAGGCAACTGGCAACTGCCGTCGTGCACCCCGAAGTTGGACTGTGCTCCTTAACTTATCTTCGTACCATTGACACATTGAGTATCAACTATATTCCCGCAAGGCTCAGCGGCCGTCTGATAGCCAACGGAAGGTCTTATCAAAGACTGTGGCAGACGCTGCAGAGCACGGACTTTCGGAGCACGGCCATGCCTCCACCGAGTTGGACTGTGTTGTTGCAATCTACACTGATAGGTAGCGCTGGCAGTCGCGCACACTACGAGTGATTACCGATTTTTCACAACCCAGTCGAACAGTGCAGACGGATTACTTACTGGGTGACTATGTCCCTCCCGCACCCTGTAACCTCGAAGGGTCAGGGTATTGGAGTGGCATAGTCATCCACGGTCACGATGACTGATATTTGAGTGTCCTCAAATATCAGTCACCTCCGGGGATTGAACCCGGGACCTCAGTATTGGCAGCGAACTGCCTTGACCACTACACCACTGAGGCTGACTCATGAAGTTGTTAAGAAAGAAGCATTTTAAGTAGGAGGCACATAATATTCGCAATAATACGCTATGGTTCAGAAGTTTGTAAGGCCTTCTATCAGGAACTAACAAAGAATATGGCATTGCTTGAAAGTTGTTAAGTTGTTCACTCATGTGTGAATATCTTTCAGTCTATCTTTCAATGACGATTTCGAGAAGGACTGATCCTCCTTTAGACGATGATACTTGTTCATGTATATATGCAAGAGAGACGATAATCACCCTATTATCTACTACTTGTATGTACGGCCGGCCGGCCCATTCCTTTTTTTTTCTTCGAATTTTTTTTCAATTTTATGACGATTTTTTGTTTTTTATCTCTTTAAAGAAAAAAAATTCATTACATGTCTCATATAAACCTCTTTGACATCTAAACAAGGACATTAACTAAGGGCCAAGTAATGATCAGTGTCTCCTCAGCGATGAGTCGGAAGGTTTCGAAAAAATTATTGATCAGAGATGGGCATATTTCAGAGGAAATTGGGCCGTTTTGATATCATTTCCTTTTAAATGATTAATCCAAACGGTACTGCCATCATATTTTTTGGGTGCCTGATTTTTTTTTTTTTTTTTTGTTTTTTGTTTTTTTTTGTAATTAGTGAAATTTTTTGGATTGGGCCGAAATTTTGTACAAAAATCATATTTTTGTTTTTTTGGAAGGTTCTAATTATACCTAGTTTGATGGATTTTATGCTACCCATACCTCCACAGCTATGCCAATAGATCCGACTTTCAGAACAGCAATAAACGACTTAATTATTAATTGTTCTCGATTACACCTCAACAATACGAAATTTCCAAAAAATTAGTTTTAGTTTATGTAACGCTGATTCAAAATATCTATACTTTTATGGGGTTTTTTTCTACGGTTATGCTGTAAAGTCAGTGAACTAAATCTCCCGCGGCCGGGCGTTTTCGCGGGTCTCGAATCTGCCCCGAATCTGCTCATCTGCTCAGCGATTGTCCAATCCGTCATTGTCATGTTTTGGGGTCCAAAATTTGTCGTTAAAGCTAAATAACTTTTTTAATATTTAACTAAAATTAAAAAACGAGGGCATTACGAGTAGAGCTGAGCATACTCTACCCAAATATTATATATGTAGGGTTTTTGGGCTTTACTCTACGACTTAATTATCAGGAGAGCTAAATGGGCCGCAAACCGGGCAGAAAAGCCCGGTCGCGTTGTTTCGTGTAAATCTAGTTAGGCAGCAGCCACCCGTCTTTTTTTTTTTTTTTTTTTTTTTTTTGGTCGTCATTTTTTAGGGGGAGTTTTTTAGGATTGGGCCGGGGTGGCTGCCGCCACCTAGAATTTATAACGCGCTAACGT